CACATTAAAATGAAAGTACTTCAGCGCAAAAATTAAAGGCTAGCAGTAACTTATACTATACTACTACATGAATCGAACTGCCCTATATTTTTCCATTAATACCTCCTATGAGCCACAATAGAAATATCGGCAACAATGAACAAGAACATATCGGCACGTCCACATAAGACTACCTACATTCAGAAAATATTACAGACCACAGTTCCTGCACGTAACTCGTGTCTAGACATTATTAGGTTCACGTATATAGCAACGAACCTATTGCCATTCGAACACGCCTGTAAAATTCCAATTTTACACAAATATTGGTTAATTAAGTACACACTTGAGTCAATCAAGTTAAAGTCTTGAGTGTCAATTTAAGTAATAGCTAAGGTTTATTGTATCCAAAAATACAAAAGCAATTTTAAAGAATCAGCCTATTTATAACCTAGATTTTATATCTTGGCCACTTTTATAATCTATACCCTCTCAATCACGCCCTATTAATTTTGCAAGCAACAATTCCGATTATAAAAATTGTTTTTTTTCTTTTCTATGTTACTCATTGGTAAATGATGCAAAAAAGAAGGATAATCTGATGGTAAGCCATATAGAAGAAACAAGGATCAATCCAAATCCATTAAGAAGAATACCCGAAACATTATCAAAGTTGACTTATTTTGGGAAATGCTTAGGGTTTCGTAAACCTCCTCAACTCAACCTCAAGTTTCAACAGATCGCGAACATTATTTTAAGTCGAAAATAGCTTCTCATACGTAAGCAATGGAGTTGATTTTGATACCTGGAACGTTGTAGAATCCACTGCTGAACAAAAGTAGACTCTTTATAAAGAAACCCCTTACTTTAACCAGTAATCCAAAATGGCATATTTCAACTCTATTTATCGAAAAAAAAATGGTTTTTAGAAGTTTTGAAGTTATTCATATCAGTCTATTTAGCTCTGTCTAATTGACTTAATATCGTCTTTCGTATGAAACCATAACACAAGTTTGAAGCTTTAGGAATTTTTACAATTTCCAAGAACATGTATTAAAGAAATTTAGTTTGTCTTCATATGCGAACCTACACGTGTCTAGACAGTGGTAATACTAAGAAAACCCCCCAGCAAAGTGTTGCTTTACCTAGAATTCGAACATTAGACACTATAACCTCATTTGCTACGAGTCCAAGTTAAAAGCTGAAAATAAGAGTATCCTACGGCTGTTGGCTTCTTCGAAATTTATCATTTTTTATGATCAAAGTAAAAATAAAAGCAAATCTGAAATTGTTTTTATTAAATTAGCGAATGCTACGGGGCTGGCTTCAAAGAAAGATAAATATTGGATAAAAACATACATTTATATTTTTTATAACTTATAGAAGTATTATAACAATGTTGTTTATGGATGACTGCCTTAATGGTTTGGCGGTTGTAAACGTTACAGCCAAGGACACTGTTGTGGGTTCCATTATGGGTAGGGCTAAGTTACACTATGGGTTTTTAGATACAGCTTTTTTGTTGTGAGGGGAAAATCATCAAATGACTTCTCCCTCCCAGGGCCGGGCAGGAGGGAGTGTCAGACTCTTACTGACTAAAAACCCCCCTGTTCCTTCTCCTGCTCTGTGCCGAGGTCGCGGTACCTCATTGCGCTTACCCCGCAACCCCGGCTTTTTAGATATAGCTGCGATGTGGTCGTTGTCCTCATCACATAAAATGCGTAAAAAGTACTAGTGAATTTACAAACATCCTCACACTCTATGCAAATTTTATTTAAGCAAATCTTAATATTAATATGCATAACCTTCCTTCCCATTAAATTAGAAATTTTCAATAGCAGAATGAGAGATCATACGAGTACATACACCTTACGGACAAAGACTCGACGCTCAAGGCGATAATACTCCATACGTATAAACGAATTTCTATTTAAACCACCTGTGAGGAATTAGTTAGGGAGATGCTGTGTTAAGATTAACAAACGCCCTCGAGCTTATAATGTACACACATACACACATACAGACTACTTTTTACCACAAAAAAGATAGGTAGAGAAAGGGATATTAGTGGTTTTGCTTGGAATATAATCGCGTGTGGAGCATTTTAAATTACTGTTCTGATATTAGGATTTTTGAACTTCAACTAACCGTATTAAAAGTATCGTTGAGTTTTTTTGTGATATAGGGTGGCAAAAGAGGATACAAGCAACGCTAGTGAAGCGTTGCTAGCCTTTAGGGGATTAGGGATTTAAGAATTGAGGATTGAAGATGTTTGACGCCGGTTTATTGTGAAGCCGGAAGACTTGTGACTTAAGAAAATAAACCTTATTGCTGTATAGATAAGAAACCATTAGTTTATTTAAAGTAAGTTTTTACGTTATGATTGGTGAATATAAATAACGGGAATAATAAATCATTTTCATTGACTGTTCTTTCCCGAAAACCGCTAAATAATCGTCAATTAAGAAGTATAAAGAATAAATATTTGATTAAATTAAAAGATAAAAATAAAAGCAATATTTTAAATAACAAATGTAACGAAAATATGAGCACGGAAACTCCCGAACGTCAAAGCATTCTAGGGTGTCTAAATTAAATAAAGATTGTATTTTTCAAAGCGCAATGGTTGATTCTGTTGCCTGATATTGTTCTCCACTCCACACTATCGCGGCAGGTGTATTCTTACTGTCATGTATACTATATCTATACTAATATTATAAGACAGTTTATTTATTTATTTGTTTGTTTGAACGCGCAAATCTTCGGCAGTACTGTTTTGAATTGGACAGTTGTTTTTGTGTACGACAACAACTCCACAAAATATCTCAGAACAAAAGCGTCATCAGTATTAAATCCTAAGCCAGACCAGAATCTATACTTTCCTAACGTCATCTAAATCTGTTTCAGTTCGTAAAAAGGTACGAACGGGCCAATTTTACCTTACAAACTGTCGCGTTTACTGCTCGAACGAAATATATTATGATAATTTCAGCCTAGCTGTTTCTAAAGTAGACACAAGATTACGTCACATACTACCTACAGGACAAGACCGGACTTTTAAAAAGGTTCTTTCACAAACCCTTAGCGAGTACATACCTAAGTACGTAATTACATTGTACGCACATTGAGTAGTCGGGCCCTCGTCTCACTAGCTTATCTTTTTTATCAATCCCACTGATCTTGTTGAGATCGTGCCGACACAAAGGAACAAAAATAAAGTTAAAGAATCTGTGTATTTGCTAAAACGGAGAGAAACACGATGGAACGAACTTTCCTGACCCTTGCCGTACTTCGTAGAAAGCGGATACCTTCAATACAGTTAGAAGCCACGCTGCATAAATTGAACAGAAAAAAGTACGCGACGGTGAGCGGTCAAACGTTCATAAGCTTTTGAAATGTAAGAGGCGCTGCGGATCCTTTTCTATCGTTAATTTTTTGTGAGGTTTCTAGTAAAGTCTTAACTGTTGGTTTTTATCTTCGTCCATCTACCTTCAATGTTTTTAAAGATAAACTAGAATAGAAACAGCAATGTAATTCTCTTTACGGCACCTGTCATTAGTGCGACTACTTCACTGTTAAAAAGAAGCAAACAAATCACCAGAAATCTATTTCGTATTCTGTGCTATTTCGAAAATCGGCAAAAGCATCAATTCGCAATACCAAGGATTTTGTCCGAAATGCATTTTCCGATCACTCCACTAACGAGGCAACATTAATAAAAAGAAAAACAAAATTGGTCGTATCTTTGTACAAAATACGAGCAAGCAAAGGCCTTTTATTTATAAATGTTACGTATTTGGTTTTACCATCAAAATCTGAGTGTTCATTAGTGAGTGATAATGCTCGGTGCTCATTAAATCGGTCCAGTAAGCCGACAGCGATGCACAATGCATTGTAAATAATAACAGAAACGTATTATTGATCATTTTAGTTTGAACAAGATTTAACTAAGTGGAAATATCCAACGGAATCAATTGAAAACTGTTTGCCAACAGCGTAGTAATGCCGGATTATAATGTTCATGAATTAATGAGCAGGCCGAGTATTATTTCAAAGTGTCATCGCTATGTTCGTCTGTATTCGATCTGCAACCCGGAACAAGGTGATTGGTATACCGTAATTAATCTACATTTGGTATATTACAAGAGAAATAAATTTAATCCTGGTATGGTATGAGATTAGTTTATTGTATCCTATACGTCCGTTGCAGAATTATTTGAGTATAGTTCAACCACCATTTGAGTAGTTCTTGTAATATTGCAAACATAAGCCGAGCAGAAATTTCCCCGAAGGGCAGAAATTCCATATAATTGAGTTATCAGTTTAAAATAAATTTTGTGGAAAAGTATTCTCTATGAACAGGGCACGGACAAACAACAAACAAAACTGCAATAATCGATACGAAGACTTTATATTCTTATTTTCAAAAGCAATCTTCTTTGTTATGGTAGAGAATTAAACATGGAGATACTTTTTATCAAAATTTTTAATACTGTAAGAATTGATGGTTGACTTAGAACTAGACGTTTGGTGATTGGTGTGGCCTCTGCATAACTTATCAGTAATTCGATTCACACACGTAACATCTATCTTTGTGCATTGCTAGTCTTCACAGGAGAAAATCCTAGTGCGAGCGGCCAAAGTTAGTAAGGCCAACGTTGGACAAGTAATAGTGTTGGCTAAATCCCGTATTTGTGCCTTGTGTATAGGGGCACAAACTTAATTGTCAAGTTGACAGCGACAGTGACTCCTTCGAGAGTCTTTCTGATCGTTTTTTATGGTTGTCTCACGGTCCTACATACTTTTGTGTTTTTATTTTATTTACTGGGTCATCCATTTCTACGGGTACTAGCTTTTAGTTAGTGACTCTACTTGAGTTTGTAACACTAAGAGTTCGCGGTATAAATTTGTAAATTACATCAGTGGCATCAGCAAAATAAAGTCAGTCTTCAGGCTGACTGAGTTTAGATGATGATAATAATGAAACAATATCTTGAAAGATACAGTTTGTGGTGAAAGGCTCAGTTGATATTAAATGGCTTGTCTCTCCAGCCTATAATTGCCGACTGCCGATCAATAGCCTCTTCCCACACGGAGAAGGAACGTGCATCAATAAACAAGGTCGCGGACTGGCGATTCCAGTACAGGTTTCCTCCTGTTGTGTTCCCGTTCACCATATGCCAGTGGCGTCTAAAAAATTTTGAAATCGTCTACGTAACTTGGGAATGTCACATGAGTTCTTTCCATTTTTGGACCATCCTGAAGCCAATGAATGTCTACCTCACAATTTCAGTTATTTTCTGCCTACCTCGTGGTCGAGTTAACAAAACAAAGCTACCTCAACCGCCAAATGGAATGCCAAAAACAAACGCAACGCCACTAAACAGTTTGTGAATAATCCAGTGGTTATATTAATAACGATGTTAAATGGACATCAAATATTTGCTAATTATTTATTTGGTCCGTTCAGTTACCTGGACGGTAATTGCTTTGAAATTGTAATTGGTTAAAATAAATAGTATTACGTGTTCTGTCTGTGATAGGTCTGGTGGAGTCAAATTAAACTAGGGCGTGATGATAAACTGAAGCTGGTGTTAGGGACCATAATTATATACATTAAAAGCTTTCCAGGAGTAAGCGCAATGATGCATTACAGCCTGAAGCATTAGAAGGGATGGGGTGGTATTTAGCCTGAGCTAGTCTGTCAGTCTCTCCTAGTCGGGGCGAGAAAAGAAGGAGAAGCGAGAGGAGAAAAAGGGAATAATTGGCAGAAACCGAGCGGCAGTTGTTATATTATAAATTACTAGCTTCTGCCCGATGGTTTGCTTGCGTGCTATGTTGATAAAAAATCTTTGTGATAATCAAGGGTATCAATCTATGTACATACCAAATTTTAGATCGGTATATACATCTATACATTCTCATAAATCTAGGGAGGATTTAGATGATACACTCACTGTTTATTACAAAAATTTAGATCTCAAACAAACTATTCGTGGACCAGGGTGTAGGCTGCAGGCAAGAACTAATATAACTTTTTCCAAGTAATATGCACTAGATTCTGGACCTGGACATATAATTTCTTATTCAAAGTCTTAAGCTAATCCCTCTTTAAATGAGCGTGATGGTTGATAATACTCGAATCTTCTTCAAGTAAAAGAGGCCTTTGCTCAGCAGAGGGCACTTATTGGCTAATGACGATACAACAAACATTTGTTCCTCAAATCCTTACTAAATTTACTTCACTAATTCATTAGTTCATTAAATTTGTAAAACAAAACTCAACACGACACTGAAAGCATTTAAACCAACCAGACATCAGATTGACAGCCACAATAGCAGCAAAAGCTTGCATTTGTAAACGACGTGTGTTAAACCCATTTAATAACTAAATATGTAGTCAAATTAATTCTGTCTACATTGTTAGTCCCAGTTTGAAGTGGAAAACTGTGTTCGCTGGTTCTATCTCATAAATAAATATGTTTTTAGACTGAAATAGTCATCTCTGGCGCTGGTAAGAATAGGGTCATGTCGTTTATAGATGATATGATCGTATTGTCATTTTGAAACATGTTATAGTCTCGTTTATACGAGATATATCGTTGGATATTATTCAGAGTGATTTAAAAATGCGTACAAGAAGCTACACACATTTATACTAAAAACAATAGACACGTTCGTTATTGTTATATCGAAAAATGAAATATCCGAAAAGAAATTGTGGTTTATCTCTCAGTTATCCACTCCGATTACTTTGAAAACTGACTCACTTTTGACATAGAACTCGGTACACCGAGGAACATGTCACACGGTCGAACTGGTGCGCAGTAATTAAAGGGTCCTTTGTTCCTTTGCGGAATCCGAAACCGGACAGCGGGAGATTATACAGAGTCAAAATAGAAAATGGAAAATTGGCTTCATGACTGTCACGGAACATTTTGTAAACTCCATGACGTTTGATAGTCAAGTGTTCATTTCATGAAATCTCCATTTTAACTAACCTATCAAAAACTAGAGTAGAAAATATTATTTTATTTATATTTCCAGTTTTTCCTTGCCCACTTTTTGTCTCATAGCAACGCATATTTCGAATTATCCCGGTCACAAAGAATTTTCTCTTTTAAAATTAAAATGCTAGGAAAATGGCTTTTATTAAAAAGCTGTGTTGCTGTCGCTATGAAGTATTAAGGTTTTAACAAATATAAAAGCTTTGTTTAGTAGTACTTCACATGTTATGAAATATGTATTGAGTGGCTATAATGCGTTGTGTATTGTTATTATGTGGGGATTTGCAGAATATCATAATCAGAGAAAAATTTAAGTAACAATAATCTTAAGAATTATCTCCAGCAGTAAGCCAGTTGAAACAAACTTTAAACTTAGTGGTTTATGTACAATGAAGCATGAGCCTGTATTTACAAGTAAAATCTTGTAAAGATCATCTTGAACCAACGTTATGCTTACAATTGCAATCATTTAAATTGAATGAGTCCTCATCCTCTTCTTCAAACTCTAATGGTCCTCTCTTAGATGCCTTTCCAATTACGGAAGGCTGACCATCAACTTGGAATATTTTCCTCCTTGACCCTCCGGCTTTTTGGGCACTCATAATAAATTTCCATAATTCAACGTTGTATCTTGTTAGAATTTTAATACCATTATAACGAAACATTGGAATAAACAAGATAAACAAATCCAAAATGTAGGTTTACGAATAAAATAAAAATGGAATTTAACAATCATCCATCCAATGTTTTGTAAAAGTAATTAAGAGTGAAATCAAAAGCTGAGTTAATAGGTATATAAAATGTTGATTCAAAATAATTACTGTTTTATTCAATACCCTTTTGTTTAATTCAGCCTGGGTAATGTCTGTTAATATCCCAGTTAGCCCCATCAATAGCCAAAGCCTTGAGGTCAGTCACAGTTCAAGCCGGGGACTGATCTCGCGACCTTTCGGTCACTGAGGCTTGGCTCGCTATCCTATCGTTCAATTTCAGTAAGGCAACTTAAGACATTTTAAAGTAGGGATGAGTGTCTTAGATTACAAACTATTTGGTACGAAGTTGTTACTAAGTTTTGAAGACTCTTATTAATTTCAATTAAGTAATCTTGTTTCTTATTCCATAAAGCAATAGGCGGATATTTATTTAAGAGAAAATAAGAGTAGATATTTAATCTTTCTTTGAAAGTCGTATCGATTCGGAAATACCGCAAGAAAATTTATCCTACAGTTATATAGTCATAGTCACTCCCACACTTACTATGAAGCTATTTGCTTATAATTAAATCAAACAATTACTTATAAAAGTCTTGAACTTACAACAAAAAAGTACCACCTATAAATTACCTGCAAATAACATAAATCTATAAGGAACATTACAAAAACCCACCATAAAATCCAACTTCTTACATATTCACGGTCCATTGCATATAACCATTAATAAATTCAAAAAACTAATATCGCAATATTCACAGCACACCCTTATAAACAAGCAAATCTTTCATAGAAGGGTAAGCAGACCCCCTGCTAATTATCGAGGGGACCTCATACAGACTTCGACATAGCGTGTTATTACAACGCTGTAAATCTATGAGGGGTAGGCAGTAAGCCTAGTAAAGCGGGTGATATATTACCCAGCTTGTTCCTTGTATATTAGGAACTTGGGTTGAGAAGAAAGTAGTGGAGGACCAGAAAAACCTAAATTAATTACATATTTTATAAAGACCTGGAAGTAGCTGATGAGCCTGTTTTTATTTTATTTGATAAGACAGCAAACGAGCCCAATGATTACCTGATGGTAAGATATCGGTTTGTTTTAGCGAATTGGGAGGGTATTGGGTAAGAGGAGTGTTCGGGTCTTCGGTAACCTGGCTCACACGGCGAAACACAACGCAATGGTGGATTCACGCCAGTTTTCTGTGAGGCCGTTATATCACTCCAATCGAGTTGACCCAATCGTGCCGAAGCTTGTTTCTATTACACGACGATGATGATAATGATAAAAGCAATGTCTTAATAGTTAGTAATTAAAATTAATCACCCCAAAACTACCTAAGGTGCGAAACATACCGTTACTATACAAACTCGATGCATTCAATCGGAACTAATAGATAACTAAATTACGCATCGATTCTATGTGAAATGGAAAGTTATAAACAATATACACTGACGTCACCAGTATAAAGAGTATAAACTCAATGACGTCACCAGTCGGTGACGTCATTGAGTTTGACATCAGTCACACTGTCAGTGTGTCGAACGTAGGTATATTGTTTAGGTACTTCATTTACCTTATTTACTTCACAGGTAGGAACAAATTAACCTGTGTCCATACCTCTTAAGATCATTTGTTGATATTGTGTGCCATAATGGTCGATTGGCCGCAAGCTCAGTGACCTATAATCATCACTTACCATCTCTTACTTCTCTGGTCTTCTGGATGCCTATTGGAATAGGTGGCGTTAATTGCTGACCATCACGCTCTTGATAACCATTTGATTTAACCCCAAACCGCCAACGTTATATCAACGTGATCAGTATTTTAGGAAATATCATCGGAGAAAGTTGTGAAAGCATTTCATGGTCAGCTGAATTTTTAGGCGCCTTCTTCTCATACCTGGGGATAGGTTCGCAACCTGTTAATGTGACTTTTTCGAGTCATATGTACTTTCCAATCACTCTGGATACTAAGTACTGACTGGCAGTGAAGGACAACATTGTGAGGAAATGTAAACTTTTAATTTATTTCTAATTCTTAGCTGTGACCAAGCTTCGTGATAAAGCTTATTCCATCTCAATGTGAGAAAAGCACTCAATGAGCACACAAAAATACATAGGTATTATCGTATTGTTCTGTCCATTGCTTCCCATTTCTGAGACAAACAATTATAAATATAACACGAACATTCTGAAAAAATGTTTTTTCAATGTGTATTGCAGTTTTTCACAATCCCGCCTCCCTCGGGTCATAACTCATTCCCTTTAAATATACTTTTATCCAAATTTAATGCAGGGACCGGGAAATCTGTGCTGTTTGTTACAAGAGTGACAAATGATGGCAACCATTTTTATTTGCATACCTACCTACTTCGGATTCTTTGAATATTTATAGCGAGCACACGATTTATGTTGTGATCGGATGAAAATAATAACAAAAAAAAAAATGATTTTTTAATGTTTGTTTTCATTATTTTCTAGTTAAATACTTATATCGTTGGTTGAGTGTTTATCAATGCATTTCCTTCTCCAATCCCTATCAAATCTCTCTAAAGGTCGGCAATGCAGACGTAGCTCCTCCGTTGTTGCGGGTGTCCATTGGCGGCGATCGTTAACGGCGTCTGGTAATCCGACAGCTAAATTGCCATCCTATCACAAAAATTGAAAATAAGGTTATTAAACTAATCAAACTCTACCGAAGATATTTTATAATATCGCTGTAGCAAAATCTCGAAGGGATATCAAATTATATACACGAATTATATATTATTACCATTTACCTAACGAACATTATTGTATATTGTAACTATCCATACAGTCGTACACAACATAATATATAAGAGAGGTCAAATCACGGTTTCTTATACAAATACAAATATTTGCGTTATATTTGCGATCTCCTCGTCCAGCTGAAGAAGCTTCGAGGGTCCTAAATAAACAATCATATGAAAGATTTTGACGAAACTCCCCGGGCAGTATTAATCTTTGATAACAACTACATTTTCCACGTCTTTGGGCTTCTTACAACCTGTGTACTTGATCGTCACAATACCATATTTTGGGCTATCCATATAATATTTTATTTTATTCGTAGTTTCGTGGTATTTCTATTTTAAGTCGCAGGTGTGTGTTAGGGCTTACACTTTTATGTTTAATGTACAATGTTCGTAGGATTAATAATTTATTTCCATCCTCAAAGTAAACTGACATAATGGTAGTGTGTTTCGTCATATGAGTAAGGTTACCGGAACCCCTCCCCGAAGGTCGGTTTCGTACATATGTGGTGGTAGCACTAATAAGTTTTTTTTTATATGCTGATAAATAGCCTTATGGGTTGTACGTTAATTAATATAGCAATTTTGATTAATACTTTTATGTAATAAAATGGTTTTGTGCCAAATTTTTTAACCATCATGACCTTCATTTTCGGCTGATTGAAATGAAAATATTTGAAGCAACTTGTAAAGCTTGGTCAATAAACTAGAATCAAGCAAATCTCTCAAGAATAATAAGACAGCAATAACACGTTCATAATAATATATTTCATCTCGGTAATATTTCTCCGTACAGACACGTTTGCTCATAAGGTCCAAATGATCCGTAATCGTAGCAAAATGTTGTGCTCCCATAAATATGGCGACGATAAAGGAACCAGGACTAATTTCCTTTGCACCCTGAATTACTGCTGGCCGGAGACCCATTTTGTTTGCCTACACTTGACCCGACCAGGAAAAGAAAATTGTATTTTCTTCGCACTTTTCCGACTGATTAAATTTTGTTGTGGGCCTAAGAAAACGAAACGCTTTACAAAGGAACGTCGGATTAATTTCCCGGATTATATATCATATAGGTAGATATGTATAAGATATCTACGTGAATTTAAATACGCATCATCGCGTTATTTGTAGCCATTGCAGATATTAAATATCATATATTGTTTTTTTTTAGAAAAATCATAATTTTACAAACTAGAAACCAACCTGGTGTACGATACATTATTACCATAGCACCCGAAACCCTGGCTGGACATATGCTCTATTGAGCCCCATCTGTCCCCGTCTCATTGCCACTAATATTATTATTTGGTTTCTCAAGTAGTATTGGTTATTTGTACTATGACATGTCCTGTTGACCTGAAACATATATAAGTAAAATTAAATAGGCAATACAGCGCTGCTAACTATCTTAATTAGCCATTCAACTAACAGTCTGAATGA